CCCCCTTTAGGTAATAAAATGGTGGGAATTAGAGGGTAAATATTCCCAAGCTTATTCACTCCTTAAAGTAATTCCCATCAAACAAACATGGGATTATGGAGACTTGGGATTAATAATCCTATTCCCACCTCATAATCCCACATTCCAAACACCCCCTTAGTGTACAATTTTTTCTCAAACCTTTCAGGAGCCAAGCCCCAGTGAGCCTTAACTAACGTCCGCCACTGTTTGTGTGTATGTGTGTGTGTGTGTATATATATATATATAACACTTTTTTTTATTGTATTGCATTTGGGAATATTTATATCTATACATATATGAATTCTTGTGTTATAATATTATTTGTATCTTATTATAATATTTAATAATGTTATTATTATTAGTAATTATAATACTAATATTAATAATTATTTTATTTAAAATTATTGCTGGAATTACAGGTTATTATTGCTAGAATACCAGGGTGTTTTTTTTAATATTATTGCAAGAAAAAAGGAGAAAAAAATATTACTAACCGGTGCCAAAAACTTCTGCCACCAAAAAAATAATTGCGCGGGTTTATTTAAGGCACTGGTTAACCGGTGGCCAAAATAAATAAAGGCACCGGTTTTGAACCGGTGGCAAAAAGGGGGGTAATTGGCACCCTCCACATTGTAACCGGTTAAAACCAGTGCCTTAAGCTGGTTTGAACCGGTGCCCTTTGTTGTTTTTCTACTAGTGTTAGTTTGAATTTTATGTAATATGAATGATGTTTAATGTTTGGTTTTTTATTTTTTTTTTCAAAGGTTTGCAAGATTCAAAGGGAGGCCCGTTAACAAGGCAAGAATTTGATTAAATTCGCGACATGTGGGCTTTTTCGTGACATTTGATGGCATCTAGGTAGAATAATATATATTAGATAGTGAGATTGAGTTTTTTGTTATTATGAACAATTAATATTTAGTTACTATCTTTTTTTTATATGTACATTAATTATATATAATTAGTACTATATATTATTTGTGAGTGTTATATATATTATTATTATGCATTTTATTGTTATTATTGTATTATTATTCTTAAATTTGTAATATTTTAATTATTATTAATATTAATTAATATTATTAATAATAATATTAATAATAATAATAATAGTTTTTAAAATTACATATTAATATGTATATCAAAACAGGTCACTAATACTATTATTATTAATTAATATAAATTTTGGAAAAAAAATTAAACAAATGGCAAGCGGTTTGGCGCCAAAACCGCTTGTCATTACACTTGACATAATATTATGTCAAGTGCGAATGGCAAGCGGTTTTGGCGCCAAACCGCTTGCCATTCTCCCCTAATGGCAAGCGGTTCTGAACCGCTTGCCATTCTCCCCTAATGGCAAGCGGTTCTGAAACGCTTGCCATTTAAATGGCTATTGGCAAGCCCCCTAAGTCCATGCGGTTCAGAACCGCTTGCCATTAGGGAGTTTGAACCGTTTGCCATTACGTTTTTTCTACTAGTGGAAATTTCGATTTTCTTTCGCCAAAATTAGTACTTAGATTAAACAATTTAACTTGCTTCACTATCAATGTCGTAGAATTTATGCAGAAAATTGAAGGAAAATCTTTGGAAAAACCTTTGAATTGCAGCTTCAATGGCAGCTTTTGGGAGTTTGAGGAGAGAGAAAGTCATGAATAGAAGAGAGAGAAAGTCATGGGTTGTGTTTGTTTTGAAAGATTAAATTGGTTTTTATTTTATTTTAATCCTAACCGCTCCTCCCAATCGATTCCTACGGGTGAGATGGATTCTTATATAACTAGGGTTCTTATATAAGGAGGGGTTCTTACCGGATCCCTCCCATATCATATAACTAATATATGAAGCTAAACTTTTAGCCATGTCACGAGGCACACCACTTGGCTTTCTAATTTTTCGCCAAGTGTCGCGCCACGTTGAATAGATTTAAATAGGACTTCATAAGATAAAAATTAGTGTCGCGCCACCTTTGATAGATTTAGATAGATTTTATAAGATAAAAACATTAGTTAAAAATTCCATTTTCAATCAAATTAGGATAGAATTTTAGAATAAGTTTGTTATTTAGAGTTTTATTTTCGATAAAATACCAAATAATAAACTTATAATTAGGCCACAAGACAACATTATCATTTAGCGTTTTAACTTTTCGCCAAGTGTCGTACCACGTTGGATAAATATAGATAGACTTTGTAGAAAAAAATTAATTTAGAATTCTATTTTCAATCAAATTGAATCATAAAATAGTTTTATCTTAAAAGTCCATAAACAACCCGGGCATCGCACGGGGCACAAAACTAATATATATATATATATATATATATATATATATATATATATATATATATAAGGGAGGGATCCGATGAGAATAGGTTCATATGTGAGAATTCATACTTATATGAGAACTGATTTTAAATTTAGAACATGTGAGTAAAAGTTTAGAACATACGAGTAAAAATTTAGAACATGCGTCTGAAATTAAAATTTAGAACATCTGATTAATAATTTAGAACATCCATGTGAGTAATATGTTTATAACATATGATTTAAGAATTAGAACAAGTGATTAAAAATTTATAAAATCTACTTTATGAAATTTTAAACATATGAGTAAAATTTAGAACATCTGATTTAAGATTATGAACATGTGAATAAAAATTTAAAACAAACTGATATAGAATATAGAAAGTGTGAGTAAAAAATTTAGAACATACAAAATTTGAAACATATAATTAAAAATCTTATAACACACATTTTAAAATTTAGAACATATAAGTTAAAATTTTGGTACAAGTTATTTAAAATTTATGATATTAAACTTAACTATTTTATGGTTTAGAAAATGTGAGTATTAAATTTGAACATTTTATTTAATTTAGAACACCTAAGGAAAAGTTTAGAACATCATATTTAAAATTTAGAACATACGAGTAAAAATTTAGAACATAAAGAGTGTTCTCACATAAGAAAAATTCTCACATAAGAAAAATTCTCACGAGAGCCTCCCCCTATATATACACATATATGAACGAGTTATAATGAGAACCTACCCTATAATAGGAACTAGGGACTAATTAGGATCGTTAGATCATGAGAACCTATCCTATAATAGGAACTAGGGACTAATTAGGGTCGTTAGATCTTCCTTGGATGCGCGCTAGATGAGCGGCTGAGATTAATCTAAACTTATTCCATTCGTTACCAACCATCTAGAGCACATTTTCTCATTTCTTTCTCCTCAAGCATTTTCTCTCTCCTCCATAGCAACGAGTGCCTCTAAATTCTCCATTAAAGCGGCTTTCGAGCTTTCTCTACTCCAATGAAGCAGCTTCTGAGGTAAGATGTTTTTTTTTTTTTGTGAATCACGAATTTCAATTGACTGGTTTATCATTAATTTTTGTTAATTTAGGGTTCTTTATAATGAAATTCGAACTTTTATTTATAATTTTTGAGGTTTTGAATGGTTATATTCATTGATTTTGTCAATTTTGGTACTTTTATTTCACTCATTTGTGCTTAAATTTTGATGCACACTAACTGTTTGATTAAATTCCCCAATGAAATTTGCAGGTTGATCAAACCTAACTACTTCTACAATTTGATGAATTTGCTGCAATTTTCTCAACTTTAGAGGTAACTTGTATTTTAATGATTTTGCTGCACACGAAGTGTTTGACAAAATGCTTCAATGAATTCTAATATTAATTTTTTCAAATTCAAAAGTAGATCGAAACCAATTAAACTTAAATCAATAACATTTTAAAGTAAATTAATTTTGGATATTGATTATGTACTTTCTAGATAGATGATTTGTACTTTTTGAGTGAAATGTAGACTTAATTTGAGTGTATATTTGCATTGCTGGTATGATTGCTGATTTTAACTTGAATGCCAAACAGATAAGTGATACTCAAGATTTTATTGATATGAATTTATCATAGCAGCATAACTATAAATACACGAAAAGATTACTACAAATGGTGTAAGCAATCAAATTAATTACTTTTCTACCTTCTAGGCTAGTTCTTTTCATTTCATTGACATCTGATAAAGGATAAAGTATATGAGCGAGCCCCAGTTGCTCATCATGAGAAACAAGGTTGTTCCTCACAGTGGCAGTTTTGAAAATATTTTGATGTTTTTCACTTACTGAGATGTTGAGTCGGATTTCGTGGGGACAGCTTATGTGTCAAATTGGTTGAATAATGGCGTAACAAGAAAACGGAATAACAGAATTAGCTCAGCTCCTCTCACCACTTTTAGAATTAGCTCACAACTCTCCTCAACTCTATCAGAGCTTCTAACCTCTCCTCACCTGCGCAGATGACATAATTGGGTCTTCAAGTTGTCGGAAATCCGTCGAAGATAACAGGTTGGTGAAGTTTTCTTTTCTTTCTTCTTCGTCCCTTCATGTTAATTTTTTTTCTGATCTGTTGTTCTAGTTCTAGGGTTTTGGTCAAATTGAATTCACAATTGAGACCGAAATCAGAATAATTGAAAGTAATGGGGTTATGCGTTGACATTCCTATGTTGAAATGGTACAAATTGGCTGAAAATGGGTGATTGATTTTGTTTTAAAGGGGTGTAAAATGGAAAATATGAGAATGTGTTGTTGTCTTGTTACTGCAAAAACGTGTTGGTGTTGTCTTGGTCGATTTTTCATACTTTTTTAAATTGGTTGTAGTTACACAGACTATGGTTGTTTTAATTTGTACAATAATGATATGTAATGTGATCTGTTATAATGGGGTTTGAAGTTCTGATAATTGCTGATTGATTTTGGATAAAAATTCAATTCATACTTTCTAAAATTGTGTTATAGTCTTGTGATGCCAAAACGTGTTGGTTGAATTGTCGTACTTTGTTCGGAGAGTTATGATTGTTTCAATTTGTATCATAATTCTGTTGGTGTTCTGCTTTTGAAGGGTGGAAGTGAATTGTTTTTTATGTTATAAGAGTGGAGTTAAGTTTAGGAGGATATTCATATGGAGGATATAGAAGACATAGTTCTTGCAGATAGTGTTAGTGAAGATGTTATAAGGGGCAGTAATGTTGGTGTTGGTGATAGGGGTAGTGGAGTTAAGGTCAGGAGGAGTAACAATTATATGTTGGAGGGTATTGATATGTTGGAGGGTATTGATATGGAGGGTATTGATATGGAGGTTTTAGAAGACACGGTTGTTGCAGATAGTGTTAGTGAAGATATTAACATGAAGTTGGGTATTTATCCCCCTCACATTGTGGTTGGTAGCAACGATATGGCAGTTGGTAGCAATGACATGACAGTAATTATTGAAGAGCCTAAGGAAGGGATGGTCTTCCCGTCTTCGGAAGATGTTGAAGCCTACTATAAGGAGTATGCTGAGCAGATGGGGTTTGGAGTGTCTAGGGTTCAAGGTGTAAATTGTAAGAAGGACAACAAGAAAAAAAGAATAGCTAACACGTGGAAGTGTGAGTGTTGGGGAAAACCAGACATGAGGGCTAGGAGGGAAGCCAAGAAGAGGGCAAAGGCAATGGGTTTTGGAGGTTCAGGTGGTTTAGTTGATGGGGTGGTATGTGAGGATCAGTTACGTCGTATGAAGAGGACTTCGAAAAAGTGTGAATGTGAGGCCCGTGTTTATGCTAGAATGAATGAAGATGGATTGTGGGTGTTGAAGACAGTGCACCTAGGGCATAATCACCAAATTGATCCAGCAAATTCTAAGCTTGTGAAGGAGTACCGCATGAAGCACCTGACCCCATCATTGAGGAGGACGTTGATGGATTACTATGAGCTAGGTGTACCAGTTTCTCAAATACACGGTTGCATGACATCCAAACGAAAAGGAGTGGACAAAATGCGTCTCACCGTCAAAGACTTACAACATGAGGTGTACAAAGCAAAGCGGTTGAAGATGGTTGGAGGGGACTCGGTGGCAATGATGGAGTTTTTTGGAAAAATGCAATCCGACAACCAAAATTTTTTCCATGCCCAACGGTTGGATGAAGAAGGGAGGCTTAAGGATGTGATGTGGGTGGATGCAAGAAGTAGGGTTTCTTATGAGGACTTTGGGGATGTGGTATGCTTCGACGCAACATACCTAACAAATGAGTACGAGTTCCCACTTGTGAACTTTGTTGGTGTGAACCACCACAGGCAATCGTTGTTGTTGGGAAGTGCTCTTGTTTCTCATGAAGACTGCGATACTTTTCGGTGGATATTTCAGTAGTGGCTAGCTTGTATGAACAACAAAGCTGCTAATGCCATTTTGACTGACCAAGTGGCAGCTATGCGGAGGCCCCTAGCTGAAGTCATGCCAAACACGATTCATCGTTGGTGCATATGGCATATAATGAGCAAGATCCCTGAAAAACTTGGCAAGTGCGCACGGTAAGTGGCTTATGCAATTATTAGTTCATATTAAGTGTTATCTGACTTCAATGAGTACAATAATATGTTGTATGAGTTCAATATAAGTTAATTAAATTTTTTTTTGTTTTATTTTTTTTTTGTGAAGAGTAGCAGATATATTAGGCCTTAACAGGCTTTAGAATAAGAGTGAGATAATTACTGATCAATATAAGTTTAATGATATATGAACTGTTGTGAGTTCAATATAAGTTTAATGATATATGATCTGTTGTGACTGATGCTGGCTAATATTTGGCCTTCAAATCTGATGTAATAGTTTAATGATATGCCAAGTTGGGTGCAGGATAAAAATATATGAACTATTAGAGCCAGAGTTTATTTTTTTTGTTATTTATTTGTGAAGAGGAGTCTGATCTATTAGGCCTTAAGAGCAGATATATACAGTAGCAAAATGATCAGGAGGCTTGCTGGTATACAAAAGATTGCTGCTAAACACACTAGACAGAGTTAGAGTCTTCAAGTTGTTGTGCTGTTTTGTTAAATATAATTTGCTTGCATTTGTGTTTTCTTCAAGATGTTATAGTTTTAGACCATAGTTTTTTTAGACATTGTATATATTCTGATGGTAAATTAATTTTTGTCTAGGTACCAAGAGTTTGTCAACCAACCCCCTGAAAGAGGTGGTGTATGAGAGTTTTGATCCCGAGGAGTTCAATACCCGATGGGCTGAGTTCATAGCGGAGTATAACTTGGAGGACAATGAATGGCTGCATAGCCTCCACAAGGAGAGTCATATATGGGTGCCTGCGTACATGAAGGAGTATTTCAGGAGTATTTCTGGGCTGGTATGAAGACCACACAAAGGGTGGAGAGCATCAATCGGTTTTTTTTATGGCTATGTAAACCGCAAAACTAAACTCCACGAGTTTCCTTAAAAATATGGCATGGCCTTAACTCAACGCGTGTCAGATGAAGTGAGTGCAGATGAGCGTTGCTCGAAGTACCTAAGGAGGTTGGTTAGTGGATTCAAAGTTGAAAATTTTTTCCAAAAGTTATACACAGAAAACAAGTTTCAAGAAGTTCAAACGGAGTGTTCGAGATTGATGTATTGCAGCCTCCGAGGAAAGGAGGTTTTGTCTAAAAACCTTATTCAGTATTTGCTGATCGATCGTGTATGGATAGTACCTCTAGGTGCTAGTGAGGAGGTCATTACAGATAGGCAAAGGCTTTACCAAGTTACTTACTATCCTATGACTAAGGAGGTTCGATGTGTTTGTAGGAAGTTTGAGACAAGTAGCATACTTTGCAAACACTGTATTAGAATTCTCGATGAAAACGAGGTTGAAGATCTGCCACAAAAGTACATTTTAGACCGTTGGCGGAAGGATGTACCCCGTAAGCACACTAGGGTCAAGGTGTCCTACCATGATCCGGGCGACACAGAAAATGTGCAGAGATTCAACAGAATCATGGAAAAGTTCGAGCCCATCTGTGACACTGCTGCCATGCTCAATGATCAAACAGTCCAAATTGTAATTGAAGCATTATAAAAGCTTCAAAAAGTTGTTAATGATTGTAGGGACAAGAAGATTCAGGAACATGTTCCTGTAGTTAGCACACTTTCATCACTCGCTGAAGAAGATTCAGTCTCAGTTCATGGTTCATGCTGATCCTGTAGACCCATGTCCATCTGCCATGGTGCCTATTATAAAGGACCCTATAATTAAGAAAAGGAAAAAGGGCAGGCCTAAGGGTTCAAGGCACAAATCGTTAGCTGAAACTGGCTACAAGAAACCCAACAAGAACAAGAAGCCTAGCCCAGTAAGATTTATGCTTTTATTGTCACTACTTTTTATTTATGGAATAAGCTGACTTAGATATCATATAGGATGCAGGAAATGGTGTTGAGGAGATAGAAGAGGATGCAGGAAATGGTGCTGAGGAGGGTGAAGAGGATGCAAATGAGGAGGATGAACATGCACCGACTGCAGGAACAGTTAAGGTAAAGGCAAAGGGAAAGGGAAAGGGAAAGGCAGAACAAGATAAGGGCAAGGGAAAGGGAAAACCAATCAAGGGAAAGGCAGAACAAGGTAAGGGCAAGGGAAAGGGCAAACCAATCAAGGGCAAGGCAGGAACAGTTAAGGGAAAGGGGAAGGGCAATGCTGAACCAAATAAGGGAAAAGGAAAGGGAAAGGGCAAGGGCAAGGGCAATGCTGAACCTGTAAGTTTATACAGTCATTTATGTGATTCCAATTAAATTATTTTTTATATCATATTTAACACATCACTCACAGATGGTGAAGCATAAGGTGGTGAAACAGAAAAGGCTTGTGGAACTAATGGCCAACAGGGCGTGACTTGTAAGTTTGGATACTACATCAACCGGAAGGCATACGTAATCCCGGGAGGCGAACAAGTTTGCTGATGTGGATTCGTGCGTTCATTGTACTAAGCTAATGGAGAAGCTTTGTTAGTTAAAAAAAATTTAAATTAGTAACAAAAACCTAATGTCTGATCTATTATGAGTTGAGTCTTATGTGTTGAATCTAATGTATGAACATGATTTGAATCTAGGATTTATAATATCACACTTGAGGCTCAAAACACATGCATACTTGCTAATCATGCAATTAACATTACCAAAGATTGAAAATATAAGCAACTCCTTCTTGTACAAAATTATATGTACAAGATAAAATTGGACTACCTTTTTATAAACCCAAAAGTCCAAAACAAATATTGGAGTAGTGTAAAAAGAAAAAAAGAAAAAAAATTGGGGGATGGGAAATGCGGCTGTTGGGATTCGAACCTAGAACCAAATATAGTGTGTAGGTATAATGTAAACCAATTGAGACAGTCATCGACCGTGATATAATTAGGAAACAAATATTATATATAGTATGGAACTATTGCTTTGCACTCTCATTCTCATTTGCATAATTTAATTAATATTTTAATTGAAAAAAAAAGGTGTATTCCTACGCAAGGGGGGTTATATAAGACTTCACAAATAAATTTACTTTTGTAGATTTAATTATAGAACAAACTTTTCAATAAACATGCCACCAAAATCTACTACATGAACAAGCAACCTTTCATGTCTATTCATATTCTGCCACCCCTTTCAACCAATAAACCCAAAAGTCCAAAACAAATATTGGAGTAGTGTAAAAAGAAAAAAATAAAAAAAAATTGGGGAATGGGAATTGCGGCTGTTGGGATTCGAACCTAGAACCAAATGTAGTGTGTAGGTGGGAATGTAAACCAATTGAGACAGTCATCGACCGTGATATAATTAGGAAACAAATATTATATATAGTATGGAACTATTGTTTTGCACTCTCATTCTCATTTGCATAATTTAATTAATATTTTAATTGAAAAAAAAGGTGTATTCCTACGCAAGGGGGGTTATATAAGGCTTCACAAATAACTTTACTTTGTAGATTTAATTATAGAACAAACTTTTCAATAAATATGCCACCAAAATCTACTAAATGAACAAGCAACCTTTCATGTCTAATCATATTCTGCCACCCCTTTCAACCAATAAACCCAAAAGTCCAAAACAAATATTAGAGTAGTGAATGAATATGATTTAGTTGCCTTCTATGTTTGTAGATTTAATTGCCTTATATCTTTAGTTGCCTCTAGCTTTGTAGATTTACTCTGATTTTGTTAATTGTTACGGTTTTAAGTGAAAACATAACCACAAATAATATACTCCCCAAAATTTTAGAATTCCACAAACTAATTACAGTCGTTGATTTATCAATATGTGACAGTTGCATTAGTAAGACTACAGATACGATTTTCAAATGGATGTATGAGATATTGGTAAAAGGACATTGGTAAAAAGACACGGTTTCACCATGGTAATTAGTAGGGTAGCTATGATTCGGGCTAGTATGGGTAGAGGTATGATTTTGGAACGTTGGAAAGGATGTGGGTGGATATGTTTTGGATTCTTGTTTCCATTTTTACGATAATACTCCGTACTTGCTTTTGTGAAGGTCTGCAACTTTGCACAGTTTTCACAAGCATCCTCCTTTTGTCCTTCGTGAAATAAAGTAGCTAAAACACTCCTGAACAAGGTCTGAAGTTCATCCATTGTTTGGGCGCCAAACCAATACAACCCTAAACAAATTCATTAACCTTTGTTATTTTAAAAAATTGGTAATATCCGATAATTTGTATTTAAAATTTTTAACAACATTTACAATCATAAATTAAATTGCAACAATTTATATATACTAATTAGTTTTAAGATTCGCGTCATACATTGCATGTTATAAACAATCAACGTAATCATGAACATAATTTCACATGATTAAGATAAACAATCCTCATTTGTAACATCATAAACAAGGTCAATTCGATCCGATTCGAAACATCCGAATTCTCAAAAAATTTCAATCCAATCCGATGCGATTTAAATTTATCCGATCCGAATAAATACTTCGATTTAGATTGGACTTTTGTGGTTTTTATCCGAATAATGGACACCCCAAGTTGTCCTATAAACGATCAAATTGGAAATCAAACCCTCGAAACCCTAAACCATTCACACCCTAGACCCTTCAAACCCTAAACCCTTCAAACCCTAAACAAACCATAAACCCTTCAAACCCTGAAATCATTAAATATATATGATCCATACTCATTTTTTATAAACCCAAAAGTCCAAAACAAATATTGGAGTAGTGTAAAAAGCAAAAAATAAAAAAAAATTTGGGGATGGGAAATGCGGCTGCTGGGATTCGAACCTAGAACCATATATAGTGTGTAGATAGAATGTAACCAATTGAGACAGTCATCGATCGTGGTATGATTAGGAAACAAATATTATATATAGTA